CTGGATGAACACAGCAGGCCAAGCAGCATCATAGGAGCAGAGAGGCTTTACCCTAGGTACACAGACAGGACTCCTCACGCCGCCCCTCACCACCTTTACCTGCTGTGACTGACAGACACCATCTATCTTTAAAGTTTCGGTGTTGCTTTGTTGATGTTTTTGTTTTCTCTCCGGGGATGAATAAACCGCCTCGGAATTGCGCGACTTTAGCCCGAACGGTGAATTTTTAGCACCATTTCTCCTCAGCAGCCAGCTGCTGTTACTATAGTAACCACCACGCCAGCCAGCCTGGGGAGGCGAGAGATTTCAAAACCGAGTAGCACCCTGAACTCTTTTCGGACATTTGCATACAACTCCCGCAATGCCCCGCGCGAACGGACCGACCGTTGGGGACGGGGAGCCGCGCGCCATTGATTCTGGAACCTGTAGTTCTAAATCCCCCGCCCACGGCTGGCCAACCGCCTTCGCAACTCATGTCACGTGCAATGACGATGCCGTGCCCACCCCTGTGACGCAGGCGGGGCGGCTCGGTATGGGATTGGCTGGATTTCGTGAACGCGCGTGCCGTTCGTGGCCGTCACACCGCCCTTTTCGGGCGGCCGAAGGGGACAAGATGGCGGCGAAAGGCGGAAAAAGCGGTTTTCTGTCCAAAGTGAGTCGAGTCAACGCCTTTTACTATCTGGCAGCCTACGGACCAAAGTTTTTTTTTTATTTCGTCGGGCTAGCAGCCGCAAGGGGTTCCTCGTCGGCGATGGGTTTGGGAAGAGAGAGAGAAGCAGGTGTTTTTTCAGGCGGTAATGGTGGAGACATGGTCACCGCCAGTGCGCTCGGAATGCCGTTATCCGCGGTTCAGGATGACGGGGAAGTTAAAGGCGGCCCCCCACGTACAGGATTCTAGGTAGCGCCTTTCCAGATTAGCTAACGGCCGACGTGGCCCTTCGCCTCCTCAGTGACGTAGCTGGAGGACCGCGCCTCATACCGGTTCATTGAGGATAGGCCCGTTACAATACAGGAGACACCCTCCCCCCCCAGCAAAAACCCTCAATCGTGAGCTTTGAGCAAGAGTCGCACCAAACGTAAACTCTGCTTACTCTCCACAGATGGTGCCAGACCTGCTGAGTTTTTTCCAGCATTCAGGTTTCCACAGTATGTTGTATTGCCAGCTGTTTACAAGCGCAGCTGGCTATTGAACCATTGCTTTACTGAGTGTTTTAGAGGTGGGAAATCTTAGGCTATGTGGCCTGGACAGTAGGTTAGTTACCTCAAAGATCCATGATTGGACCTGACCCAAACTGAGGATGAACATACCTAAGCATCGCAGACAGCGGCACATTTTTTTTTCATTCTGACTGTCAGCCTTTGGTCAAGTCTGACTCCAGAGGTTTGCACACCATCTAGGCTGATGCTTCAGTGTCAGAATTGTCTCAGTGCTATTTCGTCAGAGGAACCAGTTTCTTATGGATGTAATGTTAAATCCAGACCATCAAATGTTGAATGAAAAGAGCACAAGAATTGTCCACAAGCAAAATACATGGGATCTTCACATTTGAAAGTAGATCCTAGAAAGCAAATTTGGGAGTGAAGATTCAAGTAAAGTCTCCTCTGTACAATATTGCCTTTCATTATGGCTCCTGAGTGGTTCAAATTGAGCTAAATAAGCGTAGGTGACTTGTTGGGAGTGGGAGAGTTTATTTGGAAAAGAAACAACAGAGTGAGAATCTGTGACCGACTCTTCCTATCTCTAATTCAGTCTCTGGCTTTCCTATCTCTTTTATTCTTGCTGTTTGTTTGGCAGCAGAGTCTGATGAAAAATTACAATGTAAAAGCACAAGCGATTGAAATCTCAATACTGCCATCTGTGGGTGTGGAGGAGAGGGCGATCACAATGGTGGCAAATTCTGCGCAGATAAGGTGGCTCACGGTGTCCAAGTGTGTTGTTGTTGAAGGCTTTGGTGAACTAGATTTTAAAATATTTGAGTGTAGAGTAAATATAGCAGGTAGGACCCATTACACAAAGCTTTCAGGTGTCTCACGACCTGAAATTGTTACATCAGGAAGTGAGTGAATTTAAGCAGGGATTAGAGTGAAGCAAAGGCAGGTTGATGGATGGTATTGGTAATAGTTTATTGTTACTATTGCTGCTAATTGTGGGATGTTTACAGTCTTATCATTGTGAACCATATTGTAGACTGATCCAGTCATCTGGTTCTTATAGAACCTATTAGCTTTACCTATCTTTATTAAAGTGTAGCAACCGATCTCCACAATGCAGTTGATGGGCTTTAAACCTATACATCCCGGGCCATGGGCATTCAAATAAATGATTGCAAAGCTTTGCAATTTGGATGCAGTAAAAATAAGAAAGCGCTGATGTCACCATGCCCACCTTGAACAGTATTTTGAGCTTGTGAGCAGAATATTTCTAAGGACTAGTGAAGCAGTACAGTGAAACTTGGAGGTGTTGCATGGTGTCAGTATTTCTTTTATATGTCATACTTGAAGGAATAAGAACTTCAGATGTTGGAATAAAATAACCCACAGTTTGAGTTGTTTATTGAAAAGGAAGTTTTTTTGGATAATTTCCATAAAAATTGTAATTATCCATGCTGTTTCTGCCTCAATTTATGCAGTTTTGTTTGCCTGTTAGTGCTGTGCTTGCTAACATGCGCTCACCAGTCGGATGGCATTTTGGTTTTAAAATTCTCATCTTTGTTTTGAAGTGTCTTAACCGTGTCCCTTTCTGTATGTAATCTCTGCCTTTACAATCCTAAAGATAACTGCATTTACTTAAAGTTGGCCTCTTGAGCATCCCAAATTTTAATCACCCTGCCATTGTTAGCAATCATTTCAGTTTCTCAGGCTCTATATTCTACAATTTCCTCAAGTTTCTAACTTGTTTTCCTACTTTAAGACCCACATTAAGGCCTATTTGTTTTCATTTTCCTAAATAACTACGTATTGGTAGTTTTTTTTTGTAATTAGGATATTTTCTTACATTTAAATGCTAAATAAATGTGTTATAGTTAATTCACTGAAATGCCTCTCTAGCCCAGACGGTAGAGTAACACATTGAGTATGTAAAATAAGTTGGATATGCGCAGCAGAAGTTAGCTTCTGAAAAGGTTTCCGTTCAAGACCAACGGGGTAGGGTTACAGATATACACATTCACAGAAGTAGGTCGTTTGGCCTTTTGAGCCTGCCCTGCCATTTAAAGGGAGGCTACTCATTTTGTTTTGACTTCCACATTTCCATTTACCCCTGTGACCCTAGGTGTCTGATTTAAAAGAATGAATATTTCTAAGGCAGAAGTAGGTACAATGCCTCCATCATCATCTGAGGCAGTGTGCCAAAGTTGCACAACCCTCAGACAAATTTTTCTGTCCTAAAAGGATAGTCACTCGGTTTAATGTCTCCGAGTTTTATGTTCTCAAACATTTTCAGATGCTGAAGAAGCTTTGTTGCTTCTTGATTTCAGTGATGTGATTTTTAACAAATTTCATGCAGAGTTGTAAAATAAAGCCATCAGTTCTCTCTGCTGATTGATATTGTTTAGTTTGCAATTTTCCTGTTATTCATATTCAGAGATTTTGCTTTTTAATGTTCTCTTCTGCTCAGTGAATTGTCTACAGGTCTGGGCTGTTGGAAAGCTCAGATCAAGGTCAACAAACGATTTGCTGAGCAGACGAACAAATACGGTTGAAGTACAAGTCTGAAAAGGACTGGATGCATGACAAACTAAACAATGCCAGCAAAGAAGTTGCTTTTAAGAAACACGTTTGGGGTTGCGAGAGGTGTTATGGTGAGTGAGGCAGTGTTTTAGGGGCCAGGTAACTGGAGGCATCAAAGATCCCAAGAAAGGCCATAGACAGGGCTCATCAGAGATGCTAACACATTTAGACAAAGCATTTGAGAAATTGTCCCTTAAAACAGTTGGGATGAGAGTATTAGGAGAAGATCAGATGTCAAAAATTAATGATTTTATATAGTAGGTAAACAACTACCTTCCTGAGTCAATGGGGAGCCTGAACCTTACCTTCAAGAACAAAGGGAATGGCAGAAACGACACAAGCAGTGGATTTCAAGTGGAATTTTTATAAAGGAAATAGATATATTTTGTAAAGAGCATATGAGAACAGGCCAGGTAAATGGGTAGCTCTTTTAAATAAAATCTGCACTGCTGTGATGGGCTGATTTTGTTTCTGGGTTTCATTTTTTACTAGTGGAAGATCGATGACAAGCCAGTTAAGGTTGACAAGTGGGATGGTGCAGCTGTGAAAAATGCCTTGGATGATGCTGCTAAAAAGGTAAGAGAATGGCTACATGGAATCTTTGACCTTTGTTACAGTCCACCACTCCTACCAAACCATGGCATTCTTCTAATCACTACTACATGTCGAGTTTGAAGTAGTAAGCCAACCTGTTCTTTCTTCATTAGCTCTGTTGGCTTGATGGCTGGTTTGCAATGCAGAATGGGGCTGACAGTGCTGATTTAATTCTCTCACTGGCTGAGGTCACTGCAAAATCTGCATTCCCCGCTTTGCCTCTCACCCGAGGGGTGGAAACTGTTGGGTAATCATATCACCAGTTGAGAGAGCAGCTTGTGGTCCTCTGGAGCAATGCCAATTTTCACTTCACCGACTTTGTTAATGTGATTGCAGTATTTACTCTTGCTATTTATATACTGTGAGTAGATGCCCATCTGTAACTGTCCAGGTATATTTACACAACTCCATAAACCACCTTTAGTTTTTGTGCTTGCAAATGAGCAAACTGTTCGGCAGACCTGGAGATTTTGGAAGGGCATCCTTGGCAGGGTGACAGCTTAGTATCTTTCTGATGGAAGCATGTTTCTATCTGCAGGTGCTGTCTGACCTGCTGTATACTTTACAACATTTATTGTTTAATCTCTTTTTATTATGTATATATTTGCTCTCAAATCTGTAATTTTCACCATTTTTACTTCTCACTAGGTCCTTCTGGACAAGTACGGGTATGAGGAGAATTATGGACTCATCGATGGACGACTCCTCATTTGCACAATCTCCTGTGTCTTTGCAATAATTGCACTTGTTTGGGACTACATGCACCCTTTTCCAGAGTCGAAGAGTGTCCTTGCGGGTTGTGTCCTTTCATATCCTTTCCTTTTAGCAGTGAATAGTTACTTTGTTGTGGTACTGAGGCGATGCTTTAGTTTTGGAGATACATCTGCCTCCTTACCATAACATTCCCCCCACCCCCCGCCCCGAACATGTTTCTTAAAAGCAATCTCTTTGCTGGTGTTGTTCAGTTTGTCATGCATACACCATATAGACAGGATGGTTAAAAAGGTGTTTGGCTCACTTGCCTTCATTGCTCAGTCCTTTGAGTGTAGGAGTTGGGATGTTATGTTGAGGTTGGACAGGACATTGGTGAGGCCTCTTCTGGAATACTGTGTCCAGTTCTGGTCCCCCAGTTATAGGAGGGATATTATCAAGTGGAGAGGGTTCAGAAGAGATTTACTAGGATATTTCTGGGAATGGAAGGCTTGAGCTATAAGGAAAGGCTGGATAGGCTGGGACTTTTTTTCACTGGAGTGTAGGAGGTTGAGAGGTGACCTTAAAGAAGTTTATAAAATAGTGGGAGGTATAGATAGAGTTGATGGTAGTTGTCTTTTCCCTAAGATGGGGAATTTCAAGACTAGGGGACACATTTTTAAGGTGAGAGGAGAGAGATTTAAAGAAGACACGAGGCAAATTTCCACCGGGAGTAGATCACGAGTGGAATGAACTTCCTGATGAAGTAGTGGATGTGGGTACAATTACAATGTTTAAAAGATATGGTTAGATATGAGTAGGAAAGGTTTGGAGGGATATGGGCCCAGGAGCAGGCAGGTGGGACTAGCTTAGTTTGGGATTATTTTCAGCATGAACTGGTTGGACTGAAGAGCCTGTTTCTGTGTTGTATGACTGAAGTTTGTGTAAGACCCAGTGGCCACTATTTAAAGAATGTTAATGCAGGAAAGTAGTCAATTATGCATTTTGGTGCGGGCTTAAAATGGCACAGTTGTAAACAGGGACATAGGGAATTCAAGAATGTAGTTAGCAAAGCATTTGGGATCTTGAGCTTCATAAAGGTTTAGCCTAGTCTACTACTTTTTTGTCTTAACAATAAGATTTTTAAATCTGTTATTGCATCTCAAAACATTTAACTGGAGAGAACTGTGGACTTGATGTAGCCAGCGCCTTTGGACTCCTGAAAGAGATTGAGAATGTTTCCACTCCAGTGATCTAATGTCCTATGTACATATTAGGATGCTCCAGTTTGTGATGTCTGACCTTGCACTATCAATGTCAAGGTTTGAGAGAAGTTGCCCAGTTTATTGTGGTGGGCATGATGGAGTGCTAGTTTGGCCCCAAAAACTCAAATTTTAGTTTACCAGTCTGCAATCTTTCTCTAGAGTTGGGGATAAGAAAATTTGTGGTCTGTCTCGTTCCCTGAATGTCTGATTCATCTTCCAAGTGACTGAGCATAAAATCTATCCCATTCCTTTGCTTCACTTAACAGAATCCTACAGCATAGGAAAAAAGGCATTTGGGCTGTGGAACTTTTGCAGAGTCTTTGGAAAGAGCCCTTCGATTAGCTGAATTCCTTGTCATCTTGCTGTTTCTCTGTATTCCTGGAAAACATTTCTTTTTAAATGCACATTTGATTCCATTTTGATTCTGTTTTGACCACTTTTTAAGAAAGCTGTAAAAATCTTTGCCATTGCATTCTCAGCAGAACTGGCCACTTGAAGTTTAGGTCTTGAGTGTGGGGACATTGATTCTGTAGACTTAGGTAGTTTAGGAAGAGAACAGTGAGGATTTTCAATTTTCTTGAGGGACGTGGGCATCGCTGGATAGCCAGCATTTATTGCCTACCTCTAGTTGCCCACAAGCAATGATGAACTATTCCACATTTCTTAAATAATCTATGAAACAAGAAAAGGGAATGTTGGAGAACCAAAGGTCTAGTGAGGGTGTGGAATCAGAGGAAATAAGTATCTTAGAATCCCTACAGTGTGAAAACAGGCCCTTCGGCCCAACAAGTCCACACCGACCCTCAGAGCATCCCTCTGTAGCCCACCTAATCTACACATCCCTGAACACTATGGGCATTTTAGCATGGCCAATCCACCTAGCCTGCACATCTTTAGGCTGTGGGAGGAAACCGGAGCACCCGGAGGAAACTCACACAGACACGGAGAGAATGTGCAAACTCCACACAGACTGTTGCTCAAGAGTGCAGTCGAACCGTAGCTCCTGGGGCTGTGAGGCAGTAGTGTTAATCACTGAACCACTGTGCCACCCCAAATATTGGTAAGAAAGTGGTGCTGGGGCAATCAATAAGTTTAAAGGATGTCAAATCACCAGGGCCTGAATCCACATCCTACTGTCGTGAAGGACGTAGCACTGGGAACAGTGGATGCATTGGTCTTCTTCCAAAATTCTGTAGACCCTGGAGTAGTTCCTACAGATTGGAGGGTTGTGAATATGACCTTACTATTTAAAAGGGAGGGTTGAGAAAAAACAGAATTAATTACAGACCAGTTAGCCTAACATCAGTCCTGGGGAAAATAGAAGGTCTATTATAAAAGATGTGATAACACAACATTTGGAAAGCGTTAATAATTGGACAAAGTCACCATGGCCTTATGAAGGGCAAATCATGCTAAGCACATCTACTGGAGTTTTATTGAGAATGTAACTAGTTAAAATAGATAAAGCAGAACTAATGGATGTGGTGCACTTGGATTTTTAAAGGCTTTTGATAAGGTCCCTTATAAGAGCCATGTTAAAACACAGGGTGGGGTAATATATTAGCTTAGGTAGAGAATTGGTCGACAGAGAGGAAACAGCATGAAAATAAATGGTCTTTTTCCAAGTAGCATGCAGTGACTTCCAGAAGGATCAGTGCTTGGGGCCCCAGCTCATAATATATACAAATGACTTGGATGAGGGAACCAAATGCAACATTTCCAAGTTTGCCGATAACACAAAATAGGGCTGGTTGTGAGGAGGAGGCAAAGAGGCTTTGAGGTGACTTCAACAAGTTGAGTGGCTAAACAATGCAGGTGCAGTACAATGTTGCTAATCATGAAGTTATGCACTTTGGTGTGGGGAAAATAGAATGGAAGAGTATTATTTAAATGGTGTTATATAGGGAACTTGTACACCAGTCAATGAAAGCAGACAAACAGGTGCAGCAAGCAAATGGTATTTTGCAAGAGGAATTGAGTTTGAGGCAGAGATGTTAGGTCCTTGGTGAGACTACACTTGGAGTATCATAAGAAGTTTTGGTCCCCCTACCTCCAGGAATATATTTGGTGTTAGAGGGCATGTGCAGCACAGGTTCGCTAGGCTGATACTGGGGTGGCAGGATTGTCCTTTTGATGAGAGATTTTGATTGACTAGCTTGTATTCATGAGTTTAGGAGGATGAGAGGGGATCTGATTAAAATGTTACATTTCAACAGGTCTGAAAACAGACTAAGTGCAGGGAAAGTATATTCCTTGGTTGAAGTCTAGAACTGGAGGCACAATCTCTCCTATGAAGTAGACCATGTAGGACTGAGATCAAAAATTTCACTGCAAAAGGGTACTGCGCATGTGGCATTCTGTACCACAACATTGGAGGGCAAGTCTTAGAATATTGTCAAGAAAGACAGATATGTTTCAAGATTTTTTAGACAACAAGGGTTATGGGGAGAAAGCAGGAATGTGGCATTGAGAGGGAGGATCTTCTTTAACCCTCTTGAATAAGATATGAAATGTGAGCTGGAGTAGGCCATTCAGCTTCTCAGGCCTGTTCTGACAGTTAGTAATAAAGTGACTTCTCTGATTTTAGCACTGCTTGCATGTGTACAATATCTGGTTTTCTTTAACATATGCATACCTATTTTGTTATGATGGGGATTCTCACGTTTTATACCTCTTACAAAGAGAGGAGCATATTTTTAATTGCTATACAGAAAGACCCAGCTGGATTAGATCCCGGTGACATCTGGCAACTCTCATCATCTCTGCGGAGGTATTGAAGTGATTTTTCGTTTAAAAAATGTTCATGTTAAACTATTTAATTATTTCAGTTGGTAATTTTAGTCGAATACAACAATTCTAAGCAGTCAGAGGTAGCCCTGTTTGACTGAACAGACTGGTCTCATTTGTTCCTGCTCATACTTTGAGGCTGGGTGATAAGTAAATGCATCAGACTCCGACATATTGATGGCTATCAGCTGAGCTGCTGTGGTTGGCTTTTCAGTTGAGAATGTATACTTGAGTCAGACACCACAACAGTCAACTCTTTGGAGCTGGCAGCCAACATTTTAACTGGCAACTAATAGCTCGTTTATGTAGAGAATAGGGATTTGGAGCTGATTTTTGTTTGGCCAACCATTGAAAGATTAATTATGTGCCCCTGACCCAGCAGCCTTTAGTGAAAGTTGTTCATGGGGATAATTGCAAAGTACTGACTGATTTTAATTATTTTCTCAATTTGTGACCTACATTTTCACTTTTATTTTGCGTTTTGTTAATTTCTGCTTTTAGATTTGATGATCAGTACACCTTGAAGATGACTTTCATTGATGGGCGAACCAACCAGGAGCGGGAGAGGGAGTTTACCAAATCTCTCGAGTACTTCTTTGATGAGTCCGGTACCTTGGTTATGGATTTGTTTGAGAATGAAGTGTCCAAGCTTCATGATTCCTTGGGGAAGAAGAAGAAAATGAAATAATGTGCGTGTTTCTTCGCATTATGTTGTATTGCTGAAATAATGTCTGCAAAGAAAAGGGGAAAAAAAACACTTTTTGAAATATCTTTGTTGTGATTGCACCCTATTCAGCACTGGTTCTGCTTAGGGTTGGAGGGGCACTTTGCATTTTCCAAATTCATTTAGCAGCAGCAACTTGCATTTATACAATGCCTTTAGCTTTGTGGAAGGGTCATATGTGATTCCACAGTTGCAACCAGTCTGGTCCAGCCTAAGACTGTCTCTAGTGAAAAAAGATGGAGTTGGTGTCTTGGGATTGGAGTGTTGTGGCGGAGGGCTAAGGGCATTTGGTGTTTTGGTGTTTCTGGTATAATTGGACTGGCTGGAAGGGGTAGAAAGGATGCACTCTTGGAAAATATGTTCAAATACAGACTTTCTTCATGAGGAAATGCAGTGCAGCCTTCCTACAACTGACACATACCAGTTCCTTGCACATGAAGCTTTGTCAACAGCTGCTTATCCTTTGTTAATATTCAATATAGAAGGTTTGAGGGAGGGGGAAACAGTTGATATCATTCAGGGGAGTGGCAACAGAGGGGGCAACAAACCAGGTTTGGCCTTTCAGTTGAGATTGTTTACTTGAGCCAGATACCACAGCCGTCAACTCTTTGGAGTTATGCACACCTTGAGTAGGAAGCCAACAAGGAATTTGTTGATTAGACTGCTTGATGTCATGAGCTGTGCATTTTCTGTTAGATAGGGATGGACTTTGGCCAGTATTTCAGGCTTGATTTTCCAGTGGGCTGTGTAGATCCTGATTGTAATGAACTGGGGTGACCTTTGCAGGGGGGTCAAGTTCTCAATACTGTCTCTGCCCCATTTGGACTAACGTGGTGAGCAGTGAGCTAGACACTGAACCAGTGCAGCCACTGCACACTTACCCTCAGTGTCTCCTAGAACATGTGGGTGTTAGGTGAAGGTGAAGTTAAACTTCAATGCATCAGAATCAATGTGTTAATTCCAGTGATGGTAGATGAGTTGAAACTCAATGCTGGGGCGAATTTCTTCTGCTCTTCAAAATAGTGCTGTTCCAAGAGTAGCCGTGTTTTGTTTTAAAACACATAGTTGGATGACATCCCACCTACACATGCCATCTTTGTCAGTGTCAAACTGCCTTGGTATTGCTAGGCTCCCTAAGGTGTTACTGGTTCCCACATGGAGATTAAGCCTAGTAAAACTTAAGCAACAGCATTTTCAGAAGAGGAGAATTGATCCCAACAAAGTGACATGTCAAGCTAACTTTTTCTGAAGAAGGGTCTAGGCCCGAAACGTCAGCTTTCCTGCTCCTCTGCTGCTTGACCTGCTGTGTTCATCCAGCTCTACCTCTTGTTATGTCAACTTAACCAGCTGTGCACCCGTCCTTAATGATGTTGGTTTTTTTTTGGGAAGAAGAGCAGAAACTCTTTGCATTGTTCAGTTCCTTCATTCTAGAATGCTTCTTCTGTCTGTCCTGAAAGTTTCACACAGCAAACCTTAGGCAAATTGGAGTTGAAGCAGTTGTTTTTTAAATACCTCTTGCCCCCACATGTTCTGATATCAGTCTAATAAAATAGAACAAGGCAGTGGGTGAGCACTTGGCTGCCCCCAACATGGAGGCAATGTCCAAGATACTTTGTGGTACCTATGACCCTGTCCTAGGCAGGGATAATCAGTCTTCATTCTCTGCCACATTCTGTGTAAAATCTCATCAGTGTAGGTAGGCCTGTAATGAAGCTAAAGAAACTTGCCCTTCAATGCTGAATGAAGTAATGAGCCAAAGTGAGTATTTACAGAGCAGCAGTGTCCCTTTGTGACCTTTGAATAAATGTCTCAAACATGTTTATATACAGCCCCTTTGTGACTTTGAGAAATCCCAAAGTGCCTTACAGCCAGTGAAGTACTTTTTTTTTTGTTTGCAGTGCTATCTTGACACAATGTGGTGACATATGGCCACCAGTTTGCAGATGTTGGACTGGTGATTTGAGTTTGAGGTGAGGATTTGTTCTGAAATTATCACCTTATGCTGAAGATGTTTTTGGTACGGTACATAACAGGTATGGTAAACGTCTTTCTTCCGCAGATCCAGCTGTCAGGGATGTTTTCTCTGACATCTTCTGAGGATCCTTAGCTAGAAGTGCTGTGGTATCTTTCATGGATAGATGAGATCTTAGTGATTTCTTGTGAGAGCTAAATGCTTATTTCTCACTTTCGGTTCACTTTCAAGAAGTCGCTAAGCTCTCTAAGAAAGCATCATCTATCCATAAAAGGTACCGTAGCACATCTAGCAAAGTCCTCGCAGAAGACGTCAGAGAAGACATCCCTGACAGCTGGATCAGCGGAAGAAAGGCATTTATGACTTGAACAATGAAAGGTGTATTGACTTTGAGACTAAATTAAATTATTTTCTTATTACTTGGGTTTATGTAAGTGGATTCGTTTATTGGAACACCATAATAGTAGAATTTAGCTCAGTTAGGGAATAGTTAGTGATTAAGGGGGAATTGTTTGGTTTGTTAGTAATTCTGTTAATTTATTCAGTGTTTACGGTTAAATAAATTGTAACTTGTTACTTGTGAATATCAGGGATTTTTTTTCATTTAACCCCCCCTTCTCTGTAACAGTTTAACAGATTAGGCGAGCTTCTCTGGGTGTTTTGGGTTTAATTATTAGAAGGGGATCTCTACCTCTGCCCATAAGCCCCCCAGCCTGTTGTGTTTTGATTTTTTTTTTTGAAATTATTAGAGGGGTTCGATCTCTCCTTCCTAACAGTTTGGGGGCTTGTCCAGCATTTGAACCTGGGACCTCTCGCACTCTTCTCCCTTTGTTTTAAACAAAAGTTCTAGCTTCCTGCCTTCCAATTCACAATTACTCTACACAACTTCGTAACAGTTCCCTGATGTAAACTCTATAGCTCCAAGCAAGATTTCCAAATAGGAGACTGGGTATGGTGCAACGAGTGGCTCATCTTTCAAAATGCAAGTCATAAAAATACCTCTGCTCCCTTGAATGGTTGTGATTACAACAATACCCAAATTTAACATGAAGCAATCTGACCAGCCTATCCAGTAATGGTACACACTGCTGTCATAGTGCACTATCTAATGAATGCAATTCAACAAGTATCATTCATTCCTGAAGCCCACCTAGATGGGCAAGGGCACTGAAGCATAGATCATCATTGCTTCAATGTCGCCTTCCAAGTCTCTTTGCTGAAGTTAGGTATAATGATGTTATGGCATTAGAAGGTGATGGTAGATCTTGTTGAACTATTGGCCGCTGTTTGGTTAGATATTTGATTTTTCCTAGACCATTTTGAGGAAGAGTTGACAGTCAGCTATGTTTGTATGCGACTGGAGTTGCACACCGTATCAGATTGATAGGTATATTTTATGATAATCTAACAGCTTCAAAGACATTTTACTGATACCAGATTTTTTCAAACTGTCCCATTGGAGATTTGAACTACTGTTCCAGTGAGCAACTGGGCCTGTAATATGACATTCCACCCTTTCGAGAATGGAAAAAGGCTTTAAAAGTATGAAAACTGGTTTTACCTGCACAGTAACAGTGATGCTGAGGTAATTTGGAAACCGATTGAAATCAAATCCACTTCATTCAGCAATTGAAATGGCAATTTTCATGTAATTGATTACAGACGGTATGCTATTGTAGATAATTTGTGAAAGTTAGTTATTATCCTACAAGAACTTGCATTTATGTAGTATCTTTAACACAGGAAACCATCCCGGGCACTTCACAGGACAATGGATTGAGCCACAGAGCTGATGTTAGCACATGTGACTAGGCTTTCATAAGAGGTGTCAATACAAGTTAGAATTGTACCCTTTGTTTTATGTTGTCTCTGCACATTCTTTCTACTAAAATTTAATTGCTTCGCAATTCACTACACTAAGTTTCAACAGCTGCACATCTGTGAATTCTACCAACCTCTCTGTATTGATTTAAGTTTCTGCATTATTCTCATATTTCACAATACAAGTTTCCTGTCACATGTAGATTTTTAAATTGTGTCCTGTACACCAAGATCAATATCATTAATATGATAGGAAGAGCAGGGATGCTAACACTGATCCCCAGGTAGTTCCAATATAAACATTCTTCCAGCCTCAAAAAAAGTGTTTTCTGTCACTCAGCTGATTGTTACGTTCATGATATTTCTGCCTAACTTATTCCATGAGCCCTAACTTTACTCTTGAGTCTGGTGTAGCATTTTATGAAATGTCTTTTGGAAATCAGTGTACTCATGAACCCTCATGAACCAATTTATTACTACTTTTAAAAAAAAATACTAAAGCAAGTTAGTTTAACACAATTTGCAGGATGTCTTGTGTTTTTTTGAGCTCAGTATTCCATAACATGGTGCTGATCCAACTTCAAAACTGTTAGAGCTCAGATTTGTCTAAACTGCACAGGCCACCAGAATCAATCTTCATATCCCAGGCTACGGAGTCAGTGGATACCCTCACCTAGTTTGAACTGCCAGTTTGAAAGTTTACTAGAGTGCCGCCATTGAGACTTGCTGATCGTGGCTTGGATTCCCAGGTAAAAGCGAGGGCCAATACAGGGTGATCTATGCCAAAAAAATTCCTATGAGAATTGCTAAGGGAGGGAGGGCAAGTAATTACTTTTCAGTGCAAGCAGATAAAAGTGGTACTCGGCAACCCCTAAGCGACTTGAGCAGGACTTCTCGGGACCATACTCCTTCCTTGTATAATGAGGAAGAAGTTAGGAAAAATGTCCCTAAATATTTTCAATTTCATCTCTAAGGCCGGCTGGCAAAGGTTTCAAAGGCATCCTAAGTCAATTTCCAAAACACTTCATTGGTATCTGACACCACATCACATGTGGGATGTGAGCACCCTCCTGGCAAGGAAACAGTGTACAGACCTGAGAGAAGGAGATGGCAAGAACTGCAGATGCTGGAGATCAGCATCAAGACAGTGTGGAGCTCAAAGAAAACAGCAGGTAAGGTAGCATCAGAGGAACAGGAAAGTTGACGTTTTGGGTCAGGACCCTTCAGGCCTGGAGAGGTCGAAGGGAGCTCGAATAAATGGGGAGGGGTGGGTGCCACACTGGGTGAAGGCAGTCCGGTGGTAATAGGTGGAGGGTTGTGGAGATTGACCAATGGGAAGGATGAGGTGGATAGGTGAGAAGATGTGGTCAGCAGAAGTCTTCTGTATGTCTTCTAACCTGGTCTACTGCATCGTTACACTCAAGGTGGTCTCTACATCAGAGATCCAGCACAGACCTGGTGACAGATTCGTGGAGCAGCTGCGCCGTGTATACTCCAATCAACACCACCTGCTGGTTGCCAGCCACTTCATCTCTCCTTCCCGTTCCCTGGGCGACGTCCATCCTGGGCCACCTCCAATGTCACAATGAGGCCACACGAAAATTGGAGGAACGGCACCTTACGTTCCACCTCAGGAGCTCATAGCTCAATGGCCTTAACATAGAATTCACTACCTTCAAATTCTTCCCAGCCCTGGCCTCATCCCAAACCCATTCTTCCCTCTCATCTCCGCCTCCTTGACCTGACACAACCTGTCCGTCTTCCTTCTCACCTATTTGCCTCACTCTTGCCATTGATCAATCTCCACAACCCCCTACCTGCATCCACCTATCATCGCCAACCCATCTGCCTACACCCCCATGTCTATTTCTGAGCTCCTTCACCAGTCCTGATGAAGGGTCCTGACCCAGGACGTAAACTTTCCTGTTCCTCTGATGTTGCATGACCTGCTGTGTTCCTCAACCTGAGAGAAGAACTATCTCAGTAGACAGTTGTCTAGGCTTTGTCCCAAATGTTCAAACACCACTGTCACTATCCCTGCATATGTCCTGGCCAATTGACAGGACAGGCCAAGCAGAGACGGTGGCATAGTGGTATACAGGCAGGAGTGAATTGCTCTAGGAATGCTCAACAGTGATACTGAACGCCATGAAGTCTCATGACATCAGGTTAAACATGGGCAAGGATACTTCCTGATGATTATTGCGTACTATCTTTGGTTGCAGCACACCACTAGTCAAGGATCAGTGCTGAGTCCAATGCTTTTTGCCATTTGTATAAATGATTTGGATCTGAGTAAAGGAGGTATGTTTGTAGATGACGTCAAACTTGGTGATGTAGTGGACAGTGAAGACAATTATCTTAGAGTACAATGGGACCTTGATTTGATGTGCTGAAGAATGTCAGATGAAGTTTAATTTAGATAAATGTGAAGTGTTGCATTTTGGTAAGGCAGTCTAGGGCAGAACTTAGTTAATGGTAGGGCCCTGGTGAGTATATCTGAACAAAGAGATCTAAGGGTGCAGGTGCATAGGTCCTTGAAAGTTGAGTTGCAGATAGATAGGGTGGTAAAGAAGCCATTGGCACACTTGCCTTCACTGGTGAGTATATTGATTGTAGGAGTTGACATGTTTTGTTGCAACGTTAGTGAGGCCACTTTTAGAATACTGCATAATTCTACTCTCTCTGCTGTAGGAAAGATGTTGAACTTGAAAGGATTCAGAAAAGGTTTAGAAGGATGTTGCTGGGATTGGAGGGTTTGAGCTACAGGGAGAGGCTAAATAGGCTAGGGCTTGCTGGAGCGTTGGAGGCTGAGGGGTGACCTTTATAGATGTTTATAAAATCATGGGAGCATGGACAGGATAGGGGAATCCAAAACTAGAGGGCATAGGTTTAAGGTGTGGGGGAAAGATTTAAAATGGGGGCAAATTTGTCATGCAGAGGGTGGTGTTTATATGTAATGTGCTGCCAGAAGAAGTGGTGGAGGTAGGTAAAATTATGACATTTAAAAGGCATCTGCATGGGTACATGAATAGGAAAGGTTTGGAGGAATATGGGCCAAATGCTCGCAAATGGGACTACATCAGTTTAGGTTATCTGGTCAACATGGACGAGTTGGACTGAAGGGTCTGTTTCCATGCTGTATAATTCTGATTCTGACTGATGAATCAGTACTCTTCTGTGTTGAACAACACTTCTATGAAGCATTGAGGGTGTAGACTGTACTTCTGGGTGGGGATTTCTACAGCCACCATTAAGATTGGCTCAGCAGCAGCACTACTGTTCGAGTTGGTTGGGTCCTAAAGGACATCTAATTCCGTGCTGTATAACTCTGACTCTATAACAAGAGGGAAAATAACATTTGACGTCATCCTCACTAATCTACCTGCCACAGATGAATCTGTCTATGACAATATTGCTAAGAATGATCACCAGACAGTCCTTGTGAAGATGAAGTCCTACCTTCTCATTTGAGAATACCTTTCATCGTGTTGTGTGTCATTATTATTATGAGAAATGGAATAGACTCCAAACAGATATAGCAGCTCAAGACAGCAGCCATGAGGTGCCGTGGGCCAAACAGCATAAGCAGCAACTGATAGACTGAGCTAAGCAATCCTGCATTCAATGGTTCAAATCTAAGCTCTGCAGCGCTATCTTATCCCTTAATACCTTTGCTTACAAAATTTATGTATCACAGATTGAAGACTAATAATTGATCTAGCATCAACTGCCATGTGAAGGCAGTTTCAAACTGCTAGCACCTATTGGGGGAGGCAGTGGTGTTATTGTGAGACTATGAATCCAGAGACTCCGATAATACTCTGAGGACCTGGTTTTGAATGCTGCTATGCAGATGATGGAATTTGTTTTCAATAAAAATCTGGAATCAAATTTCTAATGGCCATGCAACTGTTGCCAATTGTTGGGAAAATCTCTGTCTGGCTCACTAATGACCTTTAGGGAAGGAAACTGCTGTCCTTGCATGGCCTGGCCTACATGTGACTCCAGACCCACAGCAATCTGGTTGAATCTCAACTGCTCTCTGTGCAGTTGGGGATGGGCAATAAATGCTGGGCACCAGCAATGTCCACATCCAATGAATGAATAAATAAAATTTTAAAAATCCACAAGCGGTCACTTCCTTCACCATCAATACCCATGAGTAGCTATGCATACCATTTACAAGATGCACTGCAGAAATTTGCTAAAGATCCTTATACAACACCTTACAAATGCCTAACCGCTCCTTCTAGAAGCCACCATGTATCTTGCAGCAGATACATGGGAACACTACCCCCTACAAGTTCCCTTCCAAGCTACTCACCATCCTGACTTGGAAATATATTGCTGTTTCTTCAGTTTTGCTGTGTAAAAATCCTGGAATTCCCTCCCTAATGGCTTTGTGGGTCGACTTACAGCACATAGACAGAAGGCAGCTCCCCATCACCTCAAGGGCAACTAGGGATGGGCAATAAATGCTGACCAGCCAGTGATGACCACACGTGAATTAAAAAAGTGAGACCCATCCACTTCAGTAGGGTCAGCTCAAGGATACTGTGGGGATACATAGACCAAATAGACTCCAGTAATTCTTGTCACTACCTTCCCAAGAGCAACTAAGGATGCACAACAGATACTGACCCAGCTAACAATGCCCCAGTTCCATGAATGAATACAATAAATAAAAAAACAGATATAAAACTGTTCTAAAGAAGGGTCATGACCTGAAATGTTAGTTCTGCTTTCTGTCCACAAATGTTGCCAGACCTTTTGAGTTTTTCTAGCAATTTATGCTTTTATCTTTAAAACAGTTCTCCCTCCTTTGCAGCCTCCCTCTGCTTGCTCCACACTTTATAGATTCTCATTCTTCTGTTGCACCTGTTGTTGCAGTTTCTCTCTTCCTGTCTCTCCTTACGGTTTCCTTCTTTTGCTGTTTCTCCTGTTATTTTACATCTTATTCCCTTTGCTGTCTTCCTTCATCCTCCCTACACTTGATGTCTCCTTCCACCTCTCCCCCAATACCCTCCCTTTCTATCTGTCTCCTTTGAACCTTGTTGGTAAGGCTTGCCCTTTCACCATCCCCAACCTAGTAATGTGCTTCTCCAGTTTGGCCCTGAATCCCCTTTACCGCTATCAGCGCTTTGCTACTTCCTCTTTCCATAATCTCTTTGGACAGAAAACCCTCCCAAGATATCTCTGCTTTTCTAATTTTAGCCTCTGGAATACCACCAATTTTAATCAGTTCACCATGTGCCTTGTGCTGTCTAATGCTTAACTTTTAGAATTCCCTCCATAAACATCACTACCTCTGTACATCCCTTTCCTACTTTAAAACAGAAAATAATCTCCTTGACCAAGCTTTAGGTGATCAATCTGAACATCTTATTTTGCTCAATATTGGGTTTCCTTTTATACCCTCCTTGGGCCATTTAATTATGTTTAAAGAGCTATTTAACAAAATTGTAGGAAATAATTCTCTAAAAGCATTTTTTTCCTCTACTCATTCACAGGATGCAGGCATTACTGGCCAGCATTTATTGTCCATCCCTAATTGCCCAGAGGGCAGTTAAGAGTCAACCACATTGCTGTGGGTCTGGAGTCACATGTAGGCCAGGCCAGGTAAGGATGGCAGTTTCCTTACCTAAAGGACATTAGTGAACCAGATGAGTTTTCCCCAACAATGGATTCATGGTCATCATTAGATTCTTAATTCCAGATATTTATTGATTTCAAATTCCACCATCTGCTTTGGTGGGATTAGAACCCAGGTCCCCAGAACATTATCTGGGTGTCCGGGATAACAGTCCAGTGATAATACCGCTAGGCCATCATCATTATTAACACACTGTGGAGCTGGAGGAACACAGCAGGCCAGGCAGCATCGGAGGAGCAGGAAAATTGACATTTCGGGTTGGGACCCTTTTTCAGAAATGGAGAGGGGGAAGGGAGCTGGGAAATAAATAGAGAGGAGGGGTGGGGCTGGGTAAGGTAGGTGGGATGGTAATAGGTGAGTGCAGGTAGGGAATGGTGGGGATTGGTCAGTGAGATGGGAGGGGCAGATAGGTGGAAAAGAAGATGGACAGGTTGTGTCAGGTAAAGGAGGCAGGGATGAGAGGGAGGGTTGGTCATGGGATGAGGCTGGGGTGTGGGGAAATTTTGAAACTGGTAAAATCTATGTTTAGGCCATTGGGCTGTAGGCTCTCGTGGTAGAATATGAGGTGCCGCTCCTCCAGATTGCAGGTGGCATCATTGTGACACTGGAGGAGGCCCAGGATGGACATGTCACCCAGGGAGTGGGAGGGGGAGTTGAAATGTAGAGCACCTGTGATCTGTTTGCGATAAACGACAACACTTTCCAATTGCCAAACATTTCAATCATCTTACTATCTCTGGCCATTAGTAACACATCTGCCTGTAGAGGGCACCCATGCTACATAGAGAAATAGCTCATATGAAAACCAAACCAGAAGCCACTCACTGGGGCTGCCCTGGCCTTTCAATCCAACGGATTTGTCAATCTCAGATTTTGGCATGCCCATACCACCCCAGCGGTGCACGTTCCATTAGCCGGTTCAGCTCCATGCACTGGAATTCCAAACAAACATATACAGATGAATGAATTAAATGTGTGAGTTGGCCATTCTGCCCCTCTAGCCTGCTCCGCCATTCAGTAAAAGCATGCTTGATCCGATTGATCCATTTTCCTGCGCACCCCCAACACCTGTTGACTTCCTTGTTAGTCAAGATGTCTAGAAGGAACGAAAATGATGAAACAGCCACCAAATGTTAAGCTGAAGAACAAAAAAAATCAGATTCAGGAAAATTATTTTTATACGTGATAGAATCTTCCTATTATATACATCTTGGTAGAGTCGCAACTCTCCAGGATTGGCCAGGCATCTGCAGAAATCAATCTCCAGGACATTCTAAATAAAATCCGAAAGAACTGCAGATGCTGTAAATCAGGAACAGAAACAGAAGTTGCTGGAAGTTCAATAGGTCTGGCAGCATCTGTGAAGAAAAAATCAGAATTAACGTTTTGGGTCTGGTGACCCTTCCTCAGAACTCAGGGTGACCTGGCTTAAAATGTTCTTCAGTATCTGCTGGAAAATGGCACAGGCTGACAAAAAGGCAATTTCATATATTGGTACAAACCCTTAAGGGTAATAATTGTAGCATACTTCTGAGAATCCTCATCTAATCTTAGTTGCATGTTCTGCTTTGTGAAGGACAGCCCCTCCCACCAGTTTCACATAAAAGTCTTCTATGCAAGGTCCCTCTGTTCAGGATATGTCCTGAATGACGCCAGGCAATCATTTTCATTCAAATGGTATTCTCCAAGCTCATTTGGCCTGGTGAGGGTGTCTACTTCCATCATAACTCATAAGCTCCACTTTCTAATGACAAAGTCAGTTGGAGCATCTGTTTGTAGTCCAGTTGGCCTTCAGCTAGTAAGCACTTTTGCATGGTCACATCATTAATCCCACACACCAAACAGTATCTCAGCATCTCACTTAGGGTTAAACCAAGTCATCTTAACCTGCTCGAAAATTCCCATACAGGTTCCCTTGGTTCTTGAACTGCAGAGTAAAAACTGATAGTGTCGCAGAATTAAAGGAGGCATGGGGTCATAATATTCCTTATCTAATTCTGTCAACCCTTGAAAGGTTTTAGTATCTAGCACCTCTGGGATAGTTAGGCTCCTAACAATGAAAAATGCTGCAGGTCCACACGCTGTCAGGAGAATTACTGGTTGCTTTTTGTCTTCCCCAGTGTCATTTGCCTGGATAAAATAACACATTCTTTCCACATACTGGGCTCAGTCTTTGATGGCATGATTGAACAAATCAAGCTCCCCACATAGTGACATGTTGCTAGAAATGCTTAGCCCTTGGTAGCTCACTGGTTAGCATCCCTAGCTCACAGCACTTGGGACCCAGGTTTGATTCCACCTGCGGGTGATTGTCTGTGTGGAGTTTACACATTCTCCTGGTGCCTGCATGGGTTTACACTGGGTGCTCTGGTTTCCCCCGGATGTGCAAGTTAGGTGGATTGGCCATGCTAAATTACCCATAGTGTTCAGGGATGTGTAGGTTAGATGTGTTAGCCTTGGGAAATATGGGGTTGGGGTAGGGGGCTGGATCTGGGTGAGATGCTCTTTGGAGGGTCAGTGTGGACTCATTGGGCTGTACAGCCTGTTTCCACATTGGAGGGATTTGATGCTTCTATTCTAACTGAAAGATGACTGTTGTGAGCAAATCTCTTCAGAGGTATATTCATCTCTCGTCACCATTGAAATGACTCTGGAGAGGCCAGTATGCTGTCACTAAGTCACCCTTTATTTACAGATGCGCAGTATGTGACACTGGTCCAGGCTTCCTCAGAGCCAGCTCTCAGAATGAGTAGATTATCTGTCAGCCAGGGCTCCCTGACTGGACCAGGTTACCAGCCCCAATCAGGGAACTCATATTCTATGATGTCCACCTGGCTGACCTCGTTCCAATCACTACACTCACAGTTGGGTTACCCTGGAAACAGTCAACACTTTGCGACTGGTGGGGCGTGGCCAGTGTGTGGATGTGGGTTGCTGACGTGTCGTCTTCACGCCCCCAACC